GGACAACAGAAAAGTGGGTGAAGGGAGATGTCAGACAGTGTAATATATGGCAAAATAATAATTTATAAATTATCAAGGGTTCATGAGGGACGGGAGAGTAGCGAGAGGGAAAATGAGGAGCTGATGCCAGGGGCTTAAGTGGAGAGCAAATGATTTGAGAATGATGAGGGAAATGAATGTATGGATTGTGAAGATTTGTATGAGCCCCTAATAAAATGATTTTTAAAAAATGGGGACAGGGCATTGTTTCTACATTATGGTTTGCATATAACAAAAACGGATAAAGAAAAAATAACTACAAATTGAAGTCAATCTGACCCAATTCTTTCTCAGAAGCAAAACTTCAGTGCATGGATCAATGTCTGCCTGCAGGCGGTCTGCGCTCTTCTCAGCTTCAGAACAAGCCAACTTAGGACACAGCCACACAGTTCAAGTCTGGGCAATGTTAGAATCATTCAAATCAGGGTTTCATGGTGATTTTGCCTACCGCGATCTGAGTATCAATCATCTTTTGTTTCAGAGATACGGAGCATGTTCAGAATTAAGCTTCTAGATGTTCTAAGGAGAACTATGTCAGGGATATGCTCTAATGCTGAAGAATTTTCAGGCAGCTGATTTGAATAAACTTTCAAATCACACATTTTCTTTTTGTTGTTGTTTCCTTGTTTGTTTTTTTAATCATTTTATTAGGGGCTCGTACAACTCTTACCACAATCCATACATACATCAATTGTGTAAAGCACATCTGTACATCCATTGTCCTCAAATCACACATTTTCAAGCAAGACTGTTGGCAGAAATCCTGTTCTGGACACTGTCCATCTCATCTAAACCACTAGAATGGAGAGTCATTGTGGATATTTTTATTAGTAAGATTTTCAGCTGCATTCCTTCCTGAAAAAATGTCTGACTTGACTTTCTAGTGAATTCCATGGTTGCATTCATGTGCATGTCGTTAACATAACCATCCCAAAACTTCATCTCTGAATCAATGTGGGTGGATCTCATTCCAGGGAAACAGTATTCTTTCTAATCTGGTGTTGGAGCAAAATGTTTCCGACATTTACAGAGGGGGTGGGGGCGGAGGGTGACAAGCAGGATCCAGTGATCTTTGGGGCATTTTGCAAGTTCTTCTAGCAGCAGACATGAAGGCTGCAAGCTGTACGAGAGAGCTTCAGAAACATTCGTGGGAAGATGGAATTAAAAGATAAGGGCATTTCCCTGTGCACTTTTTGAAGCCCCCTTGTACAGCAAGAAAAATAATGATAGTTTCATCTGGTCATTGACCTTAGAACTTACATTGTTTCACACGTGTTGGGAGCCTGTTATGGAGAAAGCCTATGACAGATACTGCTGAAGGAGGAAGTGAAGGGGTGGCCGGTGGCCGGTGGAGGAGGAGTGTTGCGGAGCTGACAGGGAAAGCGGAATGAAGTCCTGTAATACATGCGCAGGGACTTCAGGGGAAGCAGAGAGATCTCAGAACCAGGGTAGGTTTCTCAGGGTCTGAATAAGCAAAAAAGCAATGTGAGTTTAATCTAAGTACCATATAGACAGGAAAAATTCAATGCATGTGTTTTTCATTTTTTAATAGACACTGACTCCAAAGTGATTGGATCAATTTATACCCTTGCCACGAGGGTATAAATCTAATGCTAAATTATTTATTCCAGGTATCACAGAAAGAGAAAGGCCAATGCATTTATTATTTTTCATTTTTAATAGACATGCCAATAGCCCTTTCAAGTGACTACCAAACAAATAAAGTGACCACCAATCCATATCCTCAACAACAGGATATACCTTTAGCGTTAAGCTACTCATTTTACTAAGTATTGACTAGTGATTATTTGGGAACTGTATGCTCACTACAAAGAAAGCAATTCACCATTTGTTGTATCTACCACTCCACGTAAGAAACAAAACATTACCCCACCAAGTTAACAACTATTTTGATGTTGTGTTTAATAGAACTTTGGCTTTTCGGTTTTGCCTCTTCTTGTATTTTATAAAATTGTGCTCATACAATCTGTGCTCTTCAGTGATTTGCTTGGTTTTGAGATTCGTCATTGTAGACACATGTGGTCATAAAGTTTGATTTCTTGCCCAATGCCCTGTAGGATCTTACTGTATGCTTATATCAAGTTCAGTTCTTCCATGTTACAGTTGATAAGACACTCGGGTAATTTCATG